CAGGGGCGCTGAGTAATACTTTTTCTGGAAAGGGGGCGGTATGGCCAAATAAGTTTGGGAACCACTGGGATAGAGCGTCGGTCCCAGGTTCGATTCTGGTCAAGGGCATGTACCTTGGTTGTGGGCACATCCCCAGTAGGGAGTGTGCAGGAGGCAGCTGATCGATGTTTCTCTCTCATCGATGTTTCTAACTCTCTATCCCTCTCCCTTCCTCTCTGTAAAAAAAAAAAATCAATAAAATATATATTTTTAAAAATGTATTCTTCCATTTCCTGCTTTAATTATATAGCCCCCCTCCCTTTCCAGTCACTCTAACCAGAAACTTGGAATGAACCTAGTCTCCTTCCCTGGTACTCAAACCTCACACCTAGTCACCAAGTCAAATCAACTTTACACTCTCAATTCCCCAAGCTTCTCTCTTTGACCCCATTCCTAGAACTTGGTCCATGCCATCATCCACTTTTGCCCTGCTTTCTACAACTGCTTTCTAACTGGCTTTTCTGTTTGGGTCCTTTTCCTCTGCACTGCATACTCCACACATTGTGATATTTATAAAAGCAAGAAGCCCCACCATGCACTGCCACTGTTGACCACTGTGTACAGCAGTGATGGCAAACCTATGACACGCGTGTCAGAGGTGACACGCGAACTCATTTTTTTGGTTGATTTTTCTTTGTTAAATGGCATTTAAATATATAAAATAAATATCAAAAATATAAATCTTTGTTTTACTATGGTTGCAAATATCAAAAAATTTCTATATGTGACACGGCACCAGAGTTAAGTTAGGGTTTTTCAAAATGCTGACATGCTGAGCTTAAAAGGTTCACCATCACTGGTGTACAGCGTGCATTGTACAACCCTAGCAAGGGCCAGCCTGTGTGAATGGACCTACTAAGGATTTTGTAGTGCACAACAGTACAACCATATACAGCAGCCTTGCTCTACTTCCCCATTACAATATTCCAATGACTCCCCATTACCCTACAAATAAAGTAAAGCACTTTAATATGCCTTACAAAGCTCCACCTGATCCATCCCCTGCCTACCTCTCCAAATATCTCTCTCTCTTGTACTTTCCACAATTTACACTCCACTCATTTAAAACAAAAACTTTCCCAAACCTACTATTCTGTGGCCTTTCTGCTTGTTTTTGCATATATTATTTCCTTTGCCTGGAATACCCCTTGCCCTACCTGTTCCCACCACAACCATCCCATCCCCATCCCCAGTCCACCAGGAAATATGTATACATCCTTAAAGATTCAATTCACTCATGCATCACCCTTTCCCCTGAAGGCTTCCCTTAACCCCCTAAATGGAGTCAATATTTCCCTCTCCTGGCTGAGCCACGGCAGATCATGCATGAGCGATTGTAGTTTATCACACTGTAGCATGTTTCTGGTAGTCTATAAATGGGCATTATTGAAATGTTCTTTTGGAAAGTTCTGTACCACAATGAAAAGCTTTGTAAACATATTTTCAATATATGAATATTTTTAATACATGAAATCCTTTTCACATGTAAGAGTGTCGTGTTCTAACAGCATAGGTACAAACCACTTCGAGGACACTCTGTTGGTCCATGCGGAGAGAGATGGCACTGCTAAAAATACTGAAAAGCAGAAAAGTACTGCAAGCCTGTGTGAAAACATTTAGGTGTTGTGATGCGTCATAATACCCAGGAAAAGAGAGCCTGCCAGCCCTGAATAAGCATGGGTATTTGGAACGTGTGTTGTGGCTACCTCATTTGTGAAAAGATACCACTAAGTCTAATTTTTGGATGACAAACCTCCCATTGCAAGACTTAACACCTGCTAAACCAAATGAAAATTTGCACAGAGGAAGACATGTTAATCAATGGCAGTACTTGGCAGACTGGTCTGATAAGCCTTGGCTGAAATTAAAAAGTCCAAGAATTGCACCCAGTTCTCGGGTTGCTCCCGCGCCCCAGTCTGCAGGGTCCCAAAGGAACTGAGGCCCTTGGAGCCCAGAACCTGCAGCACCAACCTCAAAGTTTGGCACCTCAGGTGAGTAAACTTATGTACATCACAGATGGCAAGTGACCAAGCTCACGTTATGCCGCTCACACCCCTGAAGCACACCGCGACAGCAGCAGTCAAGGTTTTGTGGGTTTGTTGGAGTTTGTTCGTCCTTTCAGACAAACGAAGCCATTGTAGCGAGGACCCCACGAGGCAGGAAGCTCATGGACCAAACCAGAAAGACGCACTAGCCGCGTCGCAGGCGCCACTGCTTCTCTCCAACTGCGGTGCCCTCTGTCTCAGAACCCCAGCGCCTTTTTCGACTTGGTCCGTACCCCCCCAACCCGCCCCCCCACCCCCGTAATATTCAACCCCAGCTCATCGCTTTTCCATCATTCAGGTAATATTCAAGGCAAGTGCACCCAGGGAAGGCTGGCTCTGGTTTGCTGGAAGCGCAGTTGGAAGATACCCTCTATCCCCACCTCTCTGGAGACACACAGAAACGAGTGAGGAGAGGGGACCTGACCAGCCACAGCGGAGACATCCTCACCCCGCTGCTCACACTTTCTCACGGCGCGCCTGCAGACCGAAGGGGAAGAGGCGCACCCTGCAGCGCAGCAGCAGCCGGAGGGAACAGGGGAGCTGGGAGCGCCACCGAAGTGGGGACCGGTGTGCGTGCGCTGGGGGCGAGGGAAGACAAAGTGTGCGCGCCAGCTGGGCGGGCTGAGGAGGGAGCCGGCTAGGAGAGAAGCAAGCTAGTCAGGAGCCTGGGCCACCGGGCGGCGCGCGCAGCAGGGTGCCTACCTGCGAAGAAGACCGTTTGCAGGAGACAGAGATAGCTCTGGCTGTACTGCTCTGCAAAGTCCACGCGCTCAAGGGCCATGGCCATGTCCACCTGCAGAGTGATCGCCTGGGCATTAGGCACGGACACACAGGCGTCCTGGTTCAGGGGCAGATCCGGGGTCCTGCTGCCCAACTCAGTGGTCTCTGGCTCCGAGGCCTGAGGCACGTGCCGCTCCGCCAGACCGGGCGAGCCCAGGTAGGGCCGGGAACCGTCAGCCGCCATCGGCACGCGGGAGTCCGGGCTGGGACCGCCACCCCAGAGGTCCGCTGCTGAACTCCGCCCCGCGTCGGTGCCTGAGCGTTCACGCACGGCCGGAGGGGTCCTGCCGCCAGGCCCGCTCGGTCCTGCTGTGGCCAGCCCCTCCCGCCTGAGCCCGCTAGGTGGGGGCGCGGAAGCCCGCGGAGGGGGGGGGGAACCCGGAGCCCGGGAAAGTTGCTTCAAGATTTTTGGGGCCCCGGGGGGGAGGGCTTTTCGGCCCCCCCCCCCCCCCCAAAGGGAAACTTCTTCCGAGGGGGGGGCACCCCCCCCTTCCCCTTTAGCTTCCCAAAAAAAAAGAAAAGAAGGCCGGGGAAATTTTGGAGAAGGGCCTTCCAGGTAGCCCAAAAAGGAAAAAACCCCTGTGGGG